CCTCGCTTATATCCAGTGATAAGGAATTGTATTTTTTAAGAAATTAATTTTTTTGTGTTCATCTTATATGCCACATGGCGTTAATTTTCTGGTGAGATAGGCGAGTATGTGGTGTTAATTAACATATTGTTGAAAGTTAACACTTGCGTTGTGTGTCCTCTCCTTATGTTCCCGTTTTTAGGACTGTATTCAGTCGTCACAATGCACCAACCAGTCCAAATCTCCACAGTTGCACGATCAGCTGTCGGGACGCGTGTACGCGTGGTAGAAGGAGACAACCACGCGGCGTGAATCCCAAACGTTAACTGGTTTTATTCGGGTTCCGGAGAGCAGCGGAGGGTGACGCTGCCTGGCGGCTTGGCTCAACACCCTTGGCTTGGCTTGGCTGCCGCCACAGCACTCCCGTCTTAGTGAGTTGCTGAACGGAGTCAAAGGTCCAGGCGAGTGGGTAGCCTCTTGATAGCCGCCCGCTGTGCGTCAGACGGGAGGGCACCTCGTGGACTTGGGCTGGCATTGAAGTTGGGGGTCCTGGCGATGGTTCTCTTAGCGGAGGCAACACGGCGTCGTCGTGGTCAATGTGTGTGGGCTTGATGCGGTCCAACGACACAACCTCCTTACGGCCGCGTCTCTTGATTGTGAATTGTTAGTTGCCACGGCGGAGGACTTGAAACGCCCCATCTAGGGTGGCTGAAGAGATCGCCGAACAACGTCGTTTCGTACAAACACGTATGGGACATGATGTGAGCTGTGGGCCGACGGGCACCACACGCGACCCTGGGGCCGTGGAGGTTGTAACGAAATGAGTCGTCGCCCAGACGTGAAAGAGAGACGTCCGTTTATTGCCAATTCTAGCGGCGAATTGCATCAATCGCGTGCGTGTGCCCCGATTCAACCTCTGCTTCCTCTTCTTCGAAAGAGTGCGACGCGCTCCAAGTTTCTCCATTATTATTTTGCAACATACTCCCAGGGGGTCATAGATAAATCACACGCATTGAAAATGAAACTTTCGCGGTAGCAATATGACCTGACAAAGATAGGTGGGCGGCTCACTGGCATGTTTTCCGCTAGCCAACTGCAAGGTGTTGGCGATGACGAACCTTGCGTCGCGATACATGTTCTTTTGAAAGCCCCGAAGCGGAGATAGGGTGTCGTAGCGAGATGTCTTAATCTACCGATAAGGAATCGGACGGTGCGAAGCGCTTGAGCTTATCGGGATCACTGTTCCGACTTCTTCGGGGTGTAATGCCTAACTGAGTGAAGTTAGCGGGATGATATGTACGTGTCATGATACAGAGGTGCGGAAAAAAAAAGAATTCAGTGTTTGCCGTGCAGGGCGCAAAGAGGAAAACGAAGTGTGCACGTGATGCGTGCGGTGGTTCGAGGCAGCGCGTGCAAGGAGTCAGTTCTCGGCTGGACGTCCGGTCTGAGGAACTAGACAACGGCATCTAGGTGCTCTACCATTCCTGGACTCCGGTTGGGCAACTGGCCCAGGGACCAGGCGATACACTGCTGTTCTGGCTGCCGTTCCGGACAACTGGACATCCTGTGAAGCGAGGCCTGTACTTCGGCTGGGCGACTGGCCCAGCGACCAGGCGAGGTTCCGTGGTGCTGGCTGCCGTCTAGAGTGGCTGTTGGTTTTGGTTGCTGCGGGCCTGATGTTCCTGCTGCCGTTCCGGGTAGCTGGCGCGACCCCGGTGCGCTGCTTAGACGAGCGTGGTGGCGGAGAGCTGCTGCGGAGCTACCAATCAGCTACCGACTGCTGCTGCTGCGGCAGAAGGCCATGTCACGGTGTGGTCCGATGCACGTTGAGGACGGCAACGAGCCAGACGGCGCACAGCCCACGAGCGATTGGCGCCGGCGACCCGCAAGCCACATCAAAACACGGCGAGACTTTTCTAATTGAGAGAGACATTGAGTACAGCAATAGACGGCGTGTTTGTACTACTTTAAGTGTTACTCGTTCATAGTTACGTTCTCTGTAAATATATTCTCGTGTGTGTGTCTGTGCGCTCGTGGTTCAGTTCAGTTGCTTGCTGAGTGGTCCTGGGCCCAAAACTGACACTACGTCACAATACGGTTTGCCTGTGATTCCAGTGTTGAGCCAGGCTTATAAGCCTCATGGGGTTCCTACAGCCGAACCTTATGTGTCTTTTCTACTGTATGGCGTATGGTGTAAGTGAGGCAAGTAGTCCGGAGAATCGCCCTGTGCCAAGTTGCCCTTATCATAGACGTCGTCCTCGAAAGAACTGTTGCACCCCTTGCGTTCTTTCTGTAATCTGCAGTCGAAACGTTCTTGAGTGGGCTTTCGCAGTTGATGAACAGCACGTAATTTCTTGCACGCCACTCTGTTTGCTTCCGGCAGCACCTGAGCATCGTGGTCATTGATTTGCGGCTGTCGTACACCTTCACGTACGTGAGACCGACCATTGTAAGGCACATAGTAATCCTGGCATACTTGAGAGCGGCGTACTCGACGTGACGAATGTCGAGGACGTGACCATGACCGTCTGGAAGAAGTCGCGCAAGGTCGACGTTACCACCATGGCGCTGTTGTTGACAAAAACTTGTGCATTCATGATGACTGTCGACTCGCTGGCCTGGCATCTCAGATTGTTCCATGGTTCTACCGCTGGCCATGGTATCATCAAGTTGATGCCTCATATTTAGCTGCTCAAGTGCAGATCGCAAGTCGTGCTTCTCATAGGTTCGAGAATGCATTCCATCGATTGTGATAGCTTCGGCAGGTGACAGTGACGATACGTTGATGTTCTTAGCGAAACCGCGACTCACGACAAACAGTGCGCCAGATGGGCAGCATAAGTCGGACTTCATAGGGCCTTGCACCATCCATCCAAGAGTAGTTTCGATCGCAGTTGTACATCTGCTGATGCGATCGAATTTCTCAGTGGCACCTTGCCAATAAGCGTCAAATCCAATGAGGGAAACTAATCTCATCGGGTTGCCATGAATTTAGTTCACGGCTGTCAACTGCGTTGTATCTCCGTTCGTCGAGCCAGTGCAAAATGTTGGGGTTGGGCGGTGGGCTTGTGACGGTGCATATTTCCGTAATTTTTAATGCTTTCATGGTTATTGCGGAGCCGTTGAACTGGCTGCGCAGTCGCATGTTCACACGCTCTGTGTAGATTTGTCTTGATGACCTTGAGACGCCGAACGTGACGAGAGATAGCTCTTCTTTTCCCGCGACGGAGCACTTAAGAATCTTTGAGAGGTCTTCATGAATGTAGGACCGCTTACTGCCGCTTTCCGACAGTAATCGCACAAGGATTCCTTGGTCTTCGAACTTTGGCCAAATTTAGCCTGTCTGCAATAAAACAGGAGTAGATTTGATGAGACTGTCTTGGGCGGTCACGACGGTTCGCACGACACCTGACGGGGTTTTATGAGACGTGGGCGCCTTATTCTTTGGCCATGGATGTCCCGCTGGCTTGGATAGCTCGCGGAGAATCGTTAGGTGGCTCCGCTGGCAGCTATCACACTTGAGGTCGATAGATTTTCGGCACAATCTGGCGATGTGATTGCGTGTTTCATAGCGAAAGCAACAATTGGCGTACTGCAGCATTGCTCGCTTCTCCTCAGCTGATTAGCTGGCGTTACAGACAGCGATGGCATGATCATTGGTTTGACATAGGGGGCATGATGATCTAACAGGCAATGTAGATATGAGTAGTGCTCACACTGATGGTATGGGTTCCAAAGCATTCAATTCTTCAGATATCTGGGTCCTGGGTTCATCTTGCGACGCACGACGAGACTGCAGCCAGCCCTCTTCCCGGATTTCGCTTGAATGCGAAGAAACGTTAGTAACACCATTGCTAGCCACGTTTTGTCTTTAGGAGTTTCGGCGATGCTGGAGGCGCAGTTTGATTCCTTGGATTTCTGTCAGTACCTAATGACAAGATCCTCTGGCAGACATCGCATCAAGACACGCTTTAAGACCATGGCGTATTGTTAGGGCGCAACTTCGAGACCTTCCAAGGCACTAACGTGCAACTACACACTATCATGCAGCAGACGAAGCCTTGAGACCTCTGACGAGCTTTTCACGGGGCTTAGCGCAATAAGATGATCAACATGCTCGTTCACAAGCAAACCCTGGCGTCTAAAACGATCCGTGAGGGTCTTGATTGCAGGGTCGTAATTTCGCACTGCTGGACGAATGCCTTCCACAGCTCGCTTCGCGCTCCCGGTCAAGAAGGTGAAAAGGTACTTAAATTTTTCGATGCGTGGCAGCTCGGTATTCTTGTGAATGGTAGCGTCGAAATGGTCCCCAAAAGACTGCCATCCAAGGAGACTACAATCGAAAGTCGGTATCTGAATCTTCAGTAGTTGAACTGAACGCTGACGGTGCTTTCTCACCTGGCCTGCTGCGACGGCGAAATTCGGAGAGGCGAGGTAGCAAAGCCTGGAATCAGTTGCTTGAGCCTGCGTTCTGGCCGTTCTCTCACGTTCTTGAAGCCAGAACTTGGCGCGCGACACTGCGTAGAGAATGTTCTCGTTGTATTCTTGCGTCGTTCCTTCTTAGTTGCCCAGGACTTCTTCATCTTTAGTCACGTAGTCGAGATTAGACAGTACTGCCTTCTTGTATTTGAAGTAATCTATGTGACCGTTAATCTGAGAGGTGTCAGGATCCGGTTGCTGCAGGGGGTCCGTTAGTAGTTCCAGGGCTCGTGTGACACCAGATCTGATTGAGCCGCGCTTCTTCCGAAGGTGGTCAGAGTTCGCCATGGCCGTAACGTGAAAGGAAGTCTCTTGAGGGGCATTCCCGGGTTTCGCGGCACCAAAATGTAACGAAACAGTCGTCGCCCAGACGTGAGAAAGAGACGTCCGTTTATTGCCAATTCTAGCAGCGAACTGCCCCGATTGCGTGTGTGTGCCCCGATTCACCCTCGGCTTCCTCTGGTGCCGAAACCCGGGACTGCCACTCGAGAGCCTTCCTTTCAAGTTACGGCCATGGCAAACTCTGACCACCTTCGGCTCAATCAAACTGCGCACAGTTTGCTCATGACGTTGCGTAGGCGAAGTGCATAGTCACGGTAAGCTATAAATGCCTCCTCTGAGCCGCTTGCAAAGAACTCTCCCGGTAGCCTGAGTGTCGTGCCGTAGACGAGCTCCGCGGCGCTGCAGCCAATGTCCTCTTTCAAGGTGGACCGTATACCCAAAAGAACAAGTGGAAGGGCGTTCACCCAGTTCTGTTCTTCGGTTGCCGTGAGCGCAGCCTTCAGCTGGCGGTGAAAGCGCTTCACCATGCCATTGCTCATAGGGTAGTACGCCGTCGTACGTATGCGTGAGGGGCCCATGAGCTGACTGATGGCAGTGAAAAGGGCTGATTCGAACTGTCGGCCATAGTCTATTGTTACCGTGGAGGGCACCTCAAAACGGGCTACCCAATGGTACAGGAAAGCACTCGCAACCGTCTCGGCAGTCATGTCCACGATAGGGATGGCCTCCGCCCAGCGGGTGAACCTGTCGACACATGTCAGCAGGTAAGCCTGTCCGTGGTAGGGTGGCAGTGGGCAGACGATGTCCAAGTGGACATGATCAAAAGCGAGAATCTGGAGTGCGGAGTGTTCCCAGTGCTGTCGAAGTATGGCGTTGTATTTTAGAGCGCAGGCAAGCTTCACATTCACGTGCCCAGCGTCGGACGTCCCGATTTACGCCTGGCCAGACAAATCTTGCCGTCACCAGTCCTTGGGTGGCTCTAATCCCCGGTTGAGACAGTCTGTCAAAGGACTCGAACACAAGCAATGGAGGCTCGCGGGCACAAACGGACGAGTTCTACTGACGCTTCTGTCACAGCAAACCTTTTCCTCGGATGCGGGAATGGGGATCCGCTCAATATTCAGGGCAGTGGTCGCGGTCAACAGATGCTTCAGTTCATCATCGTCACGTTGAGCGGCTGCCAAAGCGGGAAAATCAACCTGTAGTGTGGGCAAGATGGCGTTCACAGGATTCTGTGAGAGGGCGTCTGTTACCTTGTTGCCGCTGCCTTTGACGTGGTGGATATCAGTGGTGGATATATATGACGTGGTGGATATATATGGTGGATATCGTGGTGGATATGAACTCTGATATAAATGACATGTGGCGTCGTTCACGCGCTGGGTGCGTTCCACCGTCGGAGCTTAGCGAGCGCAATGCATAAGCGGCTTGTGGTCGGTAAGGATGAAAAACTCTACACCTTCCAAGAAATGGCAAAAAATGTCGCATGGCAGCGTACAGGGCCAGCAGTTCTCTCCCGTAGGTGATGTAGCGGCACTCAGTAGGCGTTAGCTTCCTCGAACAGAAAGAATTTGGGCGCCAGATTCCCCCGACGAGCTGCTGTAATACAGCTCCAACAGCTGTATCGGAAGCATCCACCATTACATTCTGCAGGACACCCGACCTGGGGTAATCAAGCAGTGCGGCGTTTGCCAAGGCGTGCTTGACCTCACGGAAGGCTTCTTTTGCTTCTTGAGACCAGGAGAGGGTGTCTGAGCCATTTCGTGAAGTGGCCAGCAGATCATGGAGAGGTTGATGAATGTGGGCGCAGTGGGGAATGAAACGGTGGTAGAAGTTTACCAAACGCAGAAATTCCCGAAGCTGGCGCTTTGCGGTTGGCTGCGAAAATCCTTGCACGGCTTCAACCTTGTTGGGTTGAGGAACGACTCCCGAGTCGGAGATGACCTGTTTAAGAAACGAGAGCTCTCGCACGCCAAGCTTTTGGCCATGTTCACGACCACGCTACGCTCCACTAAGCACTGGAAGACGATGCGCAGATGATTCACGGTGCTCTTCCGGAGTGCTGCTGGCGACTAGCAAGTCGTCAAGATAGGGGTGGCAGAAGTTGAGACCACGTATAGCACCATCCATGAACCACTGAAATGTCTGACCCGTGATTCGGAGTCCGAATGGCATGCGGAGGAATTCAAAAAGTCCGAAAGGCGTTGCGATGGCGGTCTTCGGGACGTCCTCTGGGCCAACGGGAATCTGATGGTACGCCCGCACCAGGTCTATCTTCGAGAAGATAGTGGCACCGTGAAGCCTTGTAGTGACATCGTGTATGTGTGGTGCTGGGTACCTCTGGAGTCAGTTACCTGGTTCAGCACCCTGTAGTCCCCGTGAGGTCGCCAGTCTCGCGGCGTTGGCTTTGGCACCATATTACTGCGACAGGTTCGCCACGTTCAAGTAGCCCGCCACAATCATCGTGGACACCAGCACCAGCAAGACCCGGCTGGCATGCGCCACGCGTTCGTGCGCTCCGGCAACGAGGAAGAGGAAGATAGTTGGATCTGTGCCACTTGGCTTATTGGATTTGACGACCATAGTCTTTAGAATTGTGGGCACAAGTTCGCCCTAATAAAGACGATTGTTTTTTAACCTGTCTGCCTCAGCATTCGCTACATTTCTGGTAGAGGTGCAGAGTATGAATCGAAGCCTCGCGAGCTCAAGACCGCGTAGCCCCGACGGCCAGCGTACCGACCCCGTGGAAGTGACTCCTGTACACCAGAGGGTAAGTCGCATTCTTCGAGGTGACTCACCTGAGTTCGGTCCTCCTCACTTCACACCAAGGGTAATTCAAACGATGGATGCGACCACTATGACTAGCCAGGTAACACCAGCACAAGTGTTCATTAGCCAACCGCACCAGCCGCCAGTACTTCACGGCGACTCGTACGAGGATGTTGAAGATTAGTTGGACCTGTTCGAGAGAAGTGGCGAGCTTGAATAGATGGGACGAAAGAGAGAAGCTCCGTCGCGTATACTTTGCCCTGGAAGACTTCGCAAAGACATGGTCTGAGAGTCATGAAACCTCGTTGTCTACCTGGGAGGTATTTCGACGACAAGCGGTGGCTACGTTCGCGAACATAGACCGGAAAGAAAAGGCGGAGGCTGCTCTTCAATCAAGGAACCAGCTCACGAACGAGAGTGCTGCCATGTACATTGAGGACATGGTCCGTCTGTTCAAGTGTGCGGATTACAACATGGCTGAGGATAAGAAGGTGCGTCATCTAATGCACGGAGTGAAGCAAGAGCTGTTCGCCGTTCTCGTCCGCAACCCTCCAAGCACACTTACTGAGTTTACTAAGAAGCGACGGCCATCGAAAAAAAAACACTGGAACAGCGGGCTCGGCAGTACAACCGTAATCTTAACTGCGCATCTGCACAGGTATTCTCCGGAGGCATGCGAAACGACGTTGAAGCCCTGCGAGAGCTCATTACATCAGTTATTAGAGAACAACTGAGCAGACTGCAATGGCCCCAGACTCCAACTGCACTATCTGTTTCGGGACGTTGTTCGTGACGAACTAAGGCAGGTGATACGAGAGCCAGAGCGTGAGCTGCAGCCGATTCGACCTATCCGAATATACTCTGAGGTTGTCGGACAACCTATGGTACGCATCAATGCAGCAGTTGCGATGGCGACGACTCCTTTCTCACCTGCGGCACGCAGCGCACCTCGTCCAGAGGGAACCAACAGCTATTTATCTGCATTCAGGAACACGTAGCACACATCACTATGTGGAGCATAGGCCCAGGAAAAGTGACGTCTGGCGTGATCACGAGCGCCGGCCTCTGTGTTTTCATTGTAGGGAAGCAGGTCATCTGTACAGATTCTGTCCTCACCGACAGGCTGGATTAAGAGGCTTCCCGTCGTATGCACGGTGCCCCCGAAACGGCAAACGACCAGCGGAGATTGAGGAGTACTTGTCCACGCGCCAGAACTCGCCACCTCTACGCCAACACCGGTCGCGGTCACCATCGCCAATGCGCTACCGGTGATCCAGCCCACGTGCATGTTCAAGGCAGCCTGGTCATCGCTCTCCAAGTCCACTCCCGGAAAACTGAAGCAAACGACCTGTGGAGGTGAGGCCACTGATAACGTCAGTTACGAAGATCCTCCAGTATGGCTTGAGGGTGATGACGGTATATTTCCGGTAGATGGGTGCAGCAACGAAAATGTTACTTCAGATTTGCAGTTGAGAATGGAAGGATGGGAGCTGAATGCCTTAGTCGACACCAGTGCTGATTATTCAGTGATAAGTCACAAGATGGTGAAAAAGCTAAAGGAAGTTGTGACACTGTAGAGTGGATCACAGATACGCACGGCAGGCGGTCACATTATTACGCCCCTTGGCAGATGCACTGCAAGACTTCAAATACAGGGCTTTATTTACGTGGCCGATTTCATTGTGCTGCCAGAATGCTGAAGGGAACTCGATATAGGAATAGATTTTTTGCAAGCTAATGGTGCCGTACTTAACCTGCGTAGGTCCAGCGTGTCGTTTTTGACTGAACGAGCTATACCTGTGGAGGAATCTGAAGAACGACGCCTAACTGCTTTACACGTTGTTCATGATGACGTAACTGTGCCACAACTCTGCAGTGTAATGGTGCTCGTAGAAAAGGACGCATTGTACAACCGCGAAGGCATAGCGGATACAAATGTAGGGCTGTTTTTGAACAAAGGTGTCTGCATAGCTAGGGGTCTTGTTCACTTGAGGAATGGCCGTGCAGATGTCCTACTCACAAATTTCTCCAATGAACTTCAACACATCGCTCCAGGCACTGCTATTGTCTATTTACACGACTTCTGTATGGCGACTGAACTATGCAGCTTAACGACATCAACCACTCGACCAGTGGCCTGCAACATCGACACATCCGTGACCGTCAATCAGAGCCTTCCGGACAGTACAAAAACAGATTTACGCCTTTTGTAAAAGAATTATCTGATTGCTTTTCAAGTGCCTCGAAGGTCCAGCACACGTCTATCACAAAACACAGAATTATAACGCAAGACGACACGAGGCCTATATTGACACGTGCGGTTCTTTTGGTTTAAGAAGGAAGACGCTATCACTTTCTGGTAAGCGCAACGCAGGCCGCGTTTATCTTGTATGCCACTCTGGAACGCGTTATGACGCGTGTATAAAAGACTGACACGTGCGGTTCTTTTGGTTTACGAAGGAAGACGCTATCACTTTCTGTTAAGCGCAACGCAGGCCGCGTTTATCTTGTATGCCACTCTGGAACGCGCTACGACGCGTGTATAAAAAGCCGGCGCAGTGCGCCACTGGGGGTCCTTTTTTTTTCCCGTCGGCCGACGACTGTTCACGCCGCTGTCGCTGTGAGTTGTGTTTGGCCCTGTTTTGCTGGGCACAAGTTCGCCCAATAAACAGTTCGCCTGACACCGCCCTGACTCCTGCGTGCTTCCTCTCAAGTGCTGCGTGTATCACAACCTCGTGACAATATGCCAGCATCCATATCGGGTGTCACAGAAAGAACAGGAAATTATGAAGAAGCAAGTGGAGATGCTTTCAGATGATGTCATCCAGCCTTCGAATAGTCCATGGGCGTCCCCCGTAGTGCTCGTTAAAAAGAACGACAACACACTTAGATTTTGTATCGACTACAGAAAACTGAACAGTGTAACTAAACGAGATGTGTACCCCTTGCCACGTATCGACGATACACTAGATCGGTTATTATCCGCAAAGTTTTTCTCCTCCTTATATCTGAAAGCGCATATTGGCAAATAGAGGTCGACGAGCGGGACCGTGAAAAAACGGTATTCGTAACACCAGGTGTTCTCTACGAATTCAAAGCGTTTCCATTCGGCCCCTGTTCCGCATGCGCACATTCGGCCTCTGTTCAGCGAATGACGGACACTGTCCTCGCCGGATTGAAATGACAGTCATGCCTAGCGTATTTGGATGACGTGGTGGTATTCTGTGCAACGTTTCACAAACATCTAGAGCGACTACGCACAGTATTGGAAGCCATCCGGTCAGCAAAATTGACAATGAAACCCGAAAAATGCCACTTCGGCTTCGAAGAGCTGCGATTCCTTGGATATGTCATTAGTTCCGATGGTGTTCGCCCTCATCCCGAAAAGACAGCCGCTGTTCAGAGGTTCCCTACACCAGAGAGAAAAAGTCAGTGCATCGAGTTTTGGGTTTATGTGCCTACTATAGGCGATTTGTGGAAAACTTCTCAAAAAGTGCGGAACCTCTTACAAAACTGACAAAAGACGACGTGACCTTCACATGGAAAACCAAACAACAGAAAAGTTTTGACGAATTAGGAAAACGACTACAGGGTTCACCAATACTTGCCCATTTTGATGAGACAGCCGACACTGAAGTCCACACTGATGCCAGCAATGTCGGCCTCAGCGTCATCCTTGTCCAGTGGCAAAATGGTCAAGAGAAAGTGTTAGCCTATGCCAGCCGCAAACTATCAAAAGCTGAGGCAAACTACTCTGCAACTGAAAGAGTGCCTCGCAGTTATCTGGACAATAAACAAGATTCGACCCTACCTTTATGGTAGACCGTTCAGAGCTGTCAGTGACCACCATGCTCTATGCTGGTGGGCAAATCTCGAAGACCCATCAGGTTGAGTAGCAACATGGAGCTTTAGGCTGCAGGAGTATGACATTACGGCCGTGTACAAACCTGGAAGGAAACACAGCGATGCCGACTGCCTGTCACGCCCTCCCGTCGATCCAAGTGTACCTGAAGAGGAAGACTTCCCGTTTCTAGGCGTTGTAGACGCATCCGAAATCGCTCAACTACAACGAGATGACCCGGATTTGCTGGCGCCTATACAACACCTGCAAGGTCTCGACGTTCAAGTCCCTCGCATATTCTCCAGAGGGCTCTCCGCATTCTGCCTTCGAGGAAGTGTCCTTTACAGGAGGAACTTCAAACCTAATGGTGAAACGTTTTTACTAGTCGTACCCACAGCCATGCGAGAGGAAATTCTGCACGCATGCCACGAAGAGCCAACATCTGAACACATGGATGTGAGCCGAACATTCGCAAGGATTCACCTGAAATACTATTAGCCTAAGTTGCTCGCATCAGTGCAGCGCTACGTGAAAACTTGTCAATGTCAACGGCGCAAAACTCCACCCGTAAAACCAGCCGGCATTCTCCAGCCAATAGACCCCCCAGATGCTCCATTCCAACAAGTCGGCATGGACTTCCTAGGACCTTTCCCGACATCGTGTGCTGGCAAGAAATAGATAGTCGTAGTCACTGACTATCTCACTCGTTATGCTGAGACTGACTCTCTGTACAGTGCGACAGCTGCCGAAGTCGGCAAGTTCTTTGTGAACGTCATAGTGCTCAGACATAGTGCGCCCATTGTCGTT